AAATAGGGTGAATACATCTCATTACACTGATTTACTGGTAGTCTCGAAACCCTACTCAATTACGAATAGAATGAAATTAAATACATATTTTGGGCTAGATAAAATGATAGGTCACTCTACCAGGATCCTCATGGTGCCATCGAGTAATCTGTTGAAGAAGATAGGCGAAGTACTGAGCAGCTGGGACGTCAGTACGATTTATAAAAAGAAAATAACACTGCCCTCGGTATTGCCTCCATTTGAGATTACTCTGACCCGCTCTCCAGATCGGGCTGTACACGTTTTTGTGTTCATGTGCTCGTGCCTATGTGGGAGAGACGTGTAGGCCCATACAGAAGAGGTTATCAGGACACAAAACAACCTGGACTGTACCAACCAGTAAGCGGGAGATTAGGGAGCTGATAGAAATCAACAAATCAGCCAACACTCTGAATAGAAAGAATGAGTGTAGGAAGTTAAGCGGAAACTGCTTGTGGCTGTTAGATAGGTTCAGAGAGAGAGAGAGAGAGATAAAGAGAGAGAGGGAAACACTAAGTATCAGCGAGCAAGAGGAGGAGGCTTGATCAGGCGGGACTCTCACATGACACTCATTTCAAGAGCAATGCACACACACAACCCGTGTGCAATGGGACGCAATCACATGCGGTACCATTGCAGGATCAAAGGCATACGTTCGGTTTCAATTGCACCCATTTCACGCTTCATCTGCAGCCACTCAACTTAACTTATGCGCAAAGATGGAAACAAAGCATAGAACATTCAACCCAAACACGAGATGTCTCATTAAGTGGACCAAATTGTACCAAATTGGTGTTTTTGGTGAATTGTCGTGAAGTGTGGTGTCCTCCTCGGACGATGTCCGTCACATGACGGACGAAAGCTCGGCAAGGATTGATCAGGGTTGCAGGGCGGTGAGCGCAGCTCCAAGGCAACCCGCCCACAACCTCCGGTGGGCCTCTTCAAACAAATGAAAGATACTCCAACAGCAATCTATTAATGGATTCTTCTAAACCTAGTTTTTCCACAAAAGGCCACACCATCTTGGTCTTCATATCCACGATGGGATTTTTGTTTCATACAATCTGGCTCGAAATACCCTTCCAGTTAGCCAGCCTATAATCGGAGCATCCTAACCAGTTGCTATCCGATTCCTTATCAACAGTTGCTATAATTAAGCCGCTCAATGCATAAAGTATGCTTTGGGCGCAATCCCGAGAGTGGGCAAAACCCACATTTGTCCACCTTTCAAGTTGCTTATTCCCACATAAAACCACCCCACCAGATGCTGCAGAGTGTCCACACTTCACTGAGACTTACTCTGCTAAACATGCCAATAGCGTACCGTTTTCCGTTATTCCCTTTCATCCTACAGCCGAAGCAACTGATTCAATTGGCACAGTTAAAGTGGAGGCAACAGAATTGGGAGAGGGGGAATCATTGGTTGAGCCGGTACATTGGGCAACGGAGGCGAGATGGGGGAAACTAGGGTGACGAAAGTTTCGTGAGTCGGCCAGCAGTGGACTGTTGAAGTAGACCTTTCCGAGGGCCCCAATTAGGGTTACGCGAAAGCGCCAGAGGCTATTTCTTCCTCTCACACTTGACGTATCCATTCAAGCACTTCATGTGCACAAAGAGCCCATCGCAACCCTTTGCTTTTCCCCCTAGTTCCCTCCATCTGTACACTCAGGCCTCCACTCTAATCCATTCTCTCTTCACTTCATCTCCATTCACATGTGCTCACTTACCTCTCCACCTGCACACAGACACAGGGTTGTCCGGTACCCATTATTGCCGCTTATTGAAACAGCCATCGCACCGGAAACCCAACCGAAAGGAGTAACACTGACTAGTCCACACTCTCTCAACTCACCTTCACGTACACGCATCCCCGACATACACACACAGGCGCAATCATGTGCGTATGTACGTCTGTCGGCTAACGGTCTCCGCCGCGTGTTTCATAGCCCCGAGTCCCGGTTGACCCGACGGTCTGAGAAGAATAGCGGTGACTTGGGCCATGGGTAGATGTGGAACAATGCCTCAATCCCCGCGACCTCATGTGATACACACACGCCAAGCATACTCTTTCTGCACCCTACCTTTCTGATCAAAAGATTTAAAGATCCCTCCTCACCGACCATTTAAGGTGGACGAAACTTCTTCAGTCTTTTACTCCTTCTTCCCTTGTAGAGAACTAAAGGGAGCACAACTAGTCTCGCAGTAACCAATGGAGCGTGTTTGCTATGACCTCTCGACACTTCTACTCCCTCTCCTCCGTTGATCTGTACCGACCGTTTCCCTCTAAGGCCCATCACATGCGGACACAACAAGCCATGTCTTCTTGCATCACAAGAAGGCCACTTCCTCTGCCGGACCTAGGCAACAGGTCTGTGTGTGTGTGTGTGTGTGCATGCATATGAATGCACATCCACATAGTCATAGGATTTATGCCACTGCCA